CTTCTCTGCCTGGACTTGATGGGTGAGGCAGGTTCAGGCCATGGGCAGAAAACTACTCCAACCTGAAACTGAAGTAGGATGCTCACTGAAGAACTGGACCTGTTAATCTCTGCAGCTAGGAAGATAACCCTGACTCTACTAACACCAAATAAATGTTTTCCTTCTTTGCCTTCTGCAAATAACATCGGTGGGGCACCCCTCTGGAGTCAGAAAAGATGGATGCTGCAGCTGCTGCTGCTGCCACCTATGAGGGAGGAAGGGAGAGGGAGCAGTGAGTGGAAAGACGCTGGCACAAGCAGAGTAGATTTTGCTGCAAGTGAAGGTTCTCCAGCTGGGGCTGTGTAGGAGGGAGCAGAGATTCTGCCAGAAAGCAGAAAGGTGGAGGGTTTGTCGTGACTTTGGTTTTGCTTTTTTAAACACAAGCTAATTTTATTCTCCTGTGGCCCCTTCCTCATGTAGAGCTCTCGAAGACAGGAGTTCGCAGCACTTCAGATCACACCAAAGACATTACCAGACTGGGCAGACAGGGGCTGTGTCAACAAGCTCAAGTATTTTAAATCAGTGACAAACAGCCCACCCCAAAGTATCCCCTCCCTATCATCAACAAAACATGTTTGGTCATTATAAGATTTCTTGTGACTCCTAATGTCCATATCTTTGTGGCCTACAGAGCTAGAATGTGTATGTGGGTACATGCAGCAGAGACAGGAAAATAACAGCTGAGATCCTTTTAAAAGTTGTGCAAATCCAACACGGTTTCAGGGGGGTGGGGGGAAAGAATAATTTAAAATCCCCAATCAAACTCCTTATGCTTCTTTCCCACCCCCAGTTTGTCTACACTCAATGAACAGGGATGACAGCAGCTCTGTCAAGAGCGCTGCATCGGTATTTTCCACCCGCATATGCTGTAGCCAAGCAAAAATGCCTCAAGGCCTGCCCCAGCTGTACATCCCCCACAGTGCAGATAACGTGCTGAGAGGCACTGTTTTGGCCTAGTAATCTTGTTTACATATTTTCCCGCTGTGTTTTATTTTCTGCATGCCTGTGCTGTAATTTTATTTACCAGCTTTTCAGCCCCAAAGGTAAAAAATAAAAGGAGATACCAAGAACAAAAAAGAAAACGCAGGATGCTCACAGAAATGCCCTTGTTCATCTCACGTAGGCAGTAATACGCTCTTTCACCGCCGCCCTTGCTGCCATATGACAACATGCACCTCTGTATGGCGCGCTCCCCAACTTCTGCCTATTTTTCTGACTGGGCAGCACAAACTAAAGGGATTTGTGGAGTGACAGTTAATTCAGATAATTGTATTTTCCTGCTGCCTGTGTAATGGAAATGCCAGAGCTCCGGGGGCAGAGGATTCCACGTGTGCTTGCATGCCTTATGTAGTGCACTGTATGCCTACAGCTGCCCTTCCCTAGTCCCATCTGTTGGAGATTGATGTTGATTTTGCTCATCTCGCCTCCTAAAAACCCAGTAATAATAATGAATTAATTCAGTGTTCAGTAGAGTGTTGGCGACAGATTTAGCTGGGCATATTGCAGGCACATGCTCTGCAAGATTTCTTTGCTACAAAAACACAAGTCTATGGATCTGAGTTCTATGATTAAACATCCTGTCATAGCCAGGTCTTTGCACCACATTCACCTCTGGGGATTTCAGTCCACCACCTTTGTTATCAGTAGGAGACTTTTCTGTTGTGTTTCCTTACTACCTTGGACTTCTTTAATTTCAGGCACAAATCCCTAGCATAAGTCTAGTTGGTGGTTAGGGACAGAGTTAATTTCTAAGCAAAGTACGTTTTTTAGGTTGAATATATTTTTATCCAAATTATTTTTTTACTGTAAATTAAAAGCTGATAAATAGAATCAAAGCTATTTGCTTATCCTAGTCTGAAATATAAGCTTTATAAACCATGCACATACTTGCCATTTTAGCTTTTCACCCCAGCCTAAAGTGGAAATTATCCTCAAAACCTCCTAATTCTCAAAGAATGAGTAAACCCAATTCAGCTACCTACGTGCTTTGATCCCAGCATGCAACATCACAGGCTTCCATGTCTATCATGAAAATACTGATTCATCTAGATGTACAGATCTTACTAGAGCAGCCCACATAGCTAAGATTATGAATCTTCAAATGGTTACAATTTTGTGGTTATCTTTTCTTGAACCCCCTTACCAGTTTCTTCCCTGAACAGGAAATTCTGTACCAGAGCAAACCAAAATTTACTCATCCTATGGCAGATACTTAAGGAGGAATGCTAGAAACAGAACATATCCTCCTGGCTCCAGTCAGTCAATTTTAGGGGACTTCCTGAAATGAGGGCTGCACCCTATAACTATTCTTTTCAAGATTTCTATCCAGGCTGTGCTCTGCTGGCTTTACCATAACAAGTAGACACAAAGTCCTGGGTCTTTTTTACTGTGCATATGTTGCAATTCCACATATTTGCCAGAATTCTGCAAAAGTTACAGTAATAACTGTACTTCAATTCAAAGCCAATGCTTCTCTTTAAACCATAAGGAAAAGCATTGTCTTTCTAGACAATCTTAAGGTGATTTCCAACCCTAACTATTCTATGACGCTATGATTGTGAGAACAGACAACAATGGACACTGTAAGACTTGCCTGTCCTGGCAGCATTTATCAGAAAAATGGAGCAAGAAAAGTAATGAAGAGAAAGACCATTTGCTATATCTAATAAAAGCAATTTGTGAGAGCAAACAACTTCCTCCAGGAGATCAAAACTCTTTTTCTATCCTATAATAAAAGTTAGAAAAAAATTAATGAGCATGCTTTTGGCAAAACAGTAGCAACTGTTTAATGAAATAAATAAAAGAAAGAAGATATCCTATAAAATGAAAGAAGATGTCCTATAACTAGTAACCCTTATTAAAAGCCAGCTACAGATGTTTGTTTACATTAATATATCTTGCTACTGATTGTCTAGATCATCTATTGAGATGTCTAGATTTGTATATTATATGTGCAAGATGTAACAGGAGTCAGAGCTGTCATTTTTGGGTACAAGACAAAATATGACTCCAGTCAACAGTGCCGTGAGAAAGGTATATCTTGGTGTAGGTAGGTACAGAGTCAGACTAGTCACCTGTCATCACGACCACTGTCATCTCTCACAGTCCTCAGACATCTCATTGCAGGTCCTATTGACCTTTCCCTGTGGCAAATATCCTTCAGAATAGCAAACTGAATTATTTCAGACTGCATTGTTTAAATGGCACACTTTTCAATTTATATGATTAAAACTACTGAACACAGGCTTGGCATACAGCATTAAATGGACAAGGATGAGAAATGTCTTTCCCTCTTTGAATGCTTTGTAAGTAACTGTATGTGATGGAGTCTTGTTCGCAGCAAGGATATGTTCCCAAGACAAAACTGACAAGAAACTTTCCCATTGACTTCTCCAAACTTTGGAAACCCAAAGGAATGTCGCAGGAGTAAAAACATACCCTTGTACAATGGCCTCAAGTTTCTTCTGGCAGTGAAAATCTTCTAACAAATATGCCAAAAGAAGCTGAATCTCCACAAAGCAGAAGAGACATTGAATGTTTTAATGTCCTTGCTCTGAGGGATTTTCATGTCTATGAATGCTCATCACCCACAGAAGTTTGATAAGTTCACTCTAAGATCAAAGCCTGTTAAATGCTGCAAGATCTAATCATTAAAGTTTCAGCACTGCATCCATTTGTGCATGTGGGCAGCTTGTTCACATCAACTAGGGCTACACTTAAGCACAGAATTGAGCACCTCACTAGATCTACCCACTACAAAAGAGAAGCCCAGAAAATCAAACGAGCTGTAAAGAACTTGAATATCCACATAAGGGTGAAGGTCCACCAGTTAAAGGCCTAAGGCTTGCATCAGTGAACAGATTCCCCAGGTGAAGTTATTCTTCTTTCTAGAGAGGATAAAAAAATAAAACAATAAAAAAAAGATTGTGCTTCATATAAAAAAGTTTCATTTAAGTGTAGTTAAGCTCTCAGGTTTTCAGGGTGTATAAAACAGAAGAGCTCCACTAATGCTGAAGAAATTAGGCTAGCTCATGCCTGCTGAGAATCTGCCTTAAAGGTTCTAAAAAGGCAGAGCCAAGTCCATTCAGTTTAAAGGGTAGCACAGGAAAGTACTGTCCTCACACTGACTAAGAGCCTTCTCTTTTGTGTTATATCTTCAAATGGTAGAGCAAAACAACCTTCACCTCTTGGATCTGCTGCTTTGCTTCTCACTAGGCTCATTCACCAAACAGCTATTCATCAGAAGGCATTGGTTTTGTCTGTTTTCTGCTTTAACTGTACGGTCCATGAACAAGTCAGCAGTATGTGAACTCTCATAGAAAGAAATTTTAGATGCTGTACTCAAACTAGTATTTGTTAACTTCCAGTGAGAGCCATATGTTTGGAACTCATCTAATATACCTGCTCAGAAAACTCATGCTAGGCCATTCAACATAAGCAAACCTTTGCTGTTCCAGGCAGACCTCCTGGGCTATAATCCTTCTTAAACACACAGTGACAGCGAGATGTGAAAGGTTAAGCTAGCACTCCTTAGAAACTTGCAAGTTCTGTGACAAAGTACATATTGTAGGCATTTATTTATCCCTGAACTTTAGTGACATAAATGACATGTGCAGCCTGATAAAATGGGTTGCACTCCACTGACTCACATGGCTAATACCAGTTCTAAACTTTGCCATACTGAGAACTGAAATAAAGAACATACATCTTTAGGGAACAGGAAAATCTACTTTTCACGTCCAAATAGCCTTACGAAGAATTATTCCTGAGCTGAGCTTACTGCTCACTGGTAATTTTTTCACCGTCTCAAATCCTGCATCGGAAGAATTTCAAACTGTGACAAACAGATACAGATTAGATATAGATATAGATATAGATATACATCTATAGATACAGATTAACTCATTTGCAATTATCACTCACTATTATTCAAAAACTGCTACAGAGTTAAGCACATGTGATATGGTTCTGCAGAATGGGGACAGAATTTTATTGAGTTACAGATGGATAAAAGGCATAAAGAATACAGGTAATGCACATTTTTGAAACAGCAATATAAACATAAACATGTTCAAGTCAAAGTCACATGAAAAATCAGACTAATCTTCAGATGCATTCTAGACTTGTATATACAATATCTTTATGCTAAAAGTAGAAATACAAACTCCAGAGATGCAATACATCTCAAGAATACAAAATAAATAACAAAATGAATGCAAATAAAAGGAAAAGAACAAATACTTGAATCTTCTTCCAGAATGATGAGAAATTTTGATATGTAAGAACCATGGTAGATGATACTCAATCTATGACAAGAACTCATGTATTTCCAAACAAAATCTCAAGCAGTAAAGTCTTCTTGTGCTTGGGAGTGAGTTCAAAGCATTGAAACTTTTATGGGACCCCTGCATGCTCTTTTTGTGGTGCTGAACAATTCCTGTATGAAAGAAAACTTCAAGCAGAACAGATTTTCAACAATCTGGATGATGAAATCCAACTCACTAAGACATATGCTTGGTGGGGAGTTCACAGTTATTTATGCAGGAGAAAATTTTTCAGCAACTTCTAACCCAAGATGGCTTGAGAACAAAGAATAAATGTGTTCGGTTTCAGTCTCTGAATCAGTTTCTTCCTGATGGTCAGGATCTGCAGGAAGGAAGCAGTCAGACTTCTGTTATGCAAAAAGCTACAGTAAATATCAAGAGCAAATTGTTAGGCTCCACACTCGATACAGAATTATGGCTTACAAACAAGTGAAAAATGCACCATTATTTCACTTTCATTTCAAGGGAGTTAATATTAATTGAGTGAGCCTAAGGACCATCCGTGGTTTTTCTTGCTGGAAATGTCTTCTTCATCAATTTGTTTGCGTAACTAAATATCCTAGAGAAAAACAGTATTGTTTCCACTCTTATAGTTCTTACAAATTAGATTTTTATGGTAGAGCTTTTTCTGTCCAGAAAAATAGGTCATTTCCCCTGCAGTAATATACACAATTTGAGGCTGTGTTTCTGATTGCAGTGAGTACACTGAGTGCAACTACCCCTTCAACCTGGGCATTTGCACATGCAACTCACTACCTCAACTGGTCAAATCACTATTTTCAATGGACAGATTCCCCCTAACTGCAGAGTTGAATGGAGGCCTAAATACTTAAGCCTTTTTTTCTACTTCCAATCATCTCCCTCTCTGAAAATATGGACCATAAATATCCTCTCCCAGGAGATTAGCCCTGGAACTTTATTGGGCTTAAAGTTACGTTCAAACAATGTCCTAATGAAAACAGTGGCTATTGAATAGTAAATAAAATGTGTTCCAAGGACATCAAATCATGATTACAATGACTTCCATTTTTTTATAACTTCAAAAATAAGTGCTTTTTCTTTACATATTGGAAAATAAAGACTTTACATACAGTAATAAGTTAAGGAGACAGAAATACAAATGTAAAAAATTACAGAAAATTGCTTAAGAACAATATTTAAAAACCAGAAAAGATATTTCCAAGTAGTTTCCTAGACAGCCTCTGTAAGACAAAAAACATATATTAAAAAAAAAGAAAAAGAAAAAGGGATCAAAAAACCTGGTTTCAACAGGGTCTGAAAGGGCACAATTAGCATTTTCACTTTAAGTGCATACCTAAACCATACAATCTACATACTCGCCTGCCTTAAATCAAGTGATCTTAAACTGATTATGATTAAATGGTATCTTTTTTCAGCATTTGTGCAAATGCTTCACTTTATCAGGCAGCCCTGGAAGGGCAAAAAGAGACAGCCCTACAAAGACTACTCATTCACATTCTGAATGCTGCAGCATGGAGACCACACAGCCACCTCACTGCTTATCAGAGAAGGTTGCCCTGTCATTTGTCTGTATGTTCCCCAATTTTGGCAAAGTTTTCCACAGTGCTGACAATGCCTGAAGGTGACTTACATGTTAAAAAAAGCAAAGTGAAATCCATTTGAAAGATTTTGGACTGCATCTGTGTGAAATAAAATAAACATTTCTCCCCACTCCCAAATAACAAAGACAGTTTCTATCAAAAGAGCTGTCTATGTGTTAATCTGCAGTGAAGACTCAGTGCCAGAGCTGTCACCCTTTGAAGTTAAAGGATATCACCTGCTGTCTTTATGATGCCCAGATTCCTGACTGAATTGAAAACTAACATGGTAATAGGCTTCCTAAGCTCCGAATAGCTCTATGAAGATCACTGCCTTGCTCCAGTGATTATAAAGATGTCAAGGTGACTGGGCTAGATACTTTAAACTAGTTGAGCTGAAAACAACAGCTCCAGAGAAGGGCTCCTGATTTTGTTCTGAGTGATCTCAGAATGAAGCTCAGCCAGAACAGAATGGCAGATTTGAGTAGAAAACTACAGATTCACATCTCAACATAAAATACCTGTCTTGTCTTCTGATTTTACTGATTCTGATTTTTTTTACTTTTTTTTCTCAACTAATTTGTAATATCTAGAATCAAAGATGAATTTTATGTCATTTTTTTTTACAGCATTTTCATACTTGTTTTCTTTCTTTTCTCTTCCTGAAGTGAGAAGAAGAAAAAAGGAAAGGTTGAAAAAAGAGAGGGGTTTTAAAAGAGATGTAACTTTAATTTTTGAATACATAAATCTATTAAATTGAGGTTAAATAAACTGAACTTGATGTTTTCATATAAAACATAAAAAAAATATGACTGTTGCAGAAGTGGCATTTTGTTACTCCTTGATGATATATTTTCTATTGCAGGAACTTCTTGACTGAGAATTTTCAGCCAACTTAAAGGCATGAGTATTAGAAGTCCTGCAATCTGGCATCCTGAGCCATAATCTTTCAAAGTAGCATAGAGATTTGTTTTGAGCAGTAGAGCATCTATGGTATAACACTGTCGTATATGTAATGCAAGCTAGGATAACACAGGGTAAGAGATTAATATTAGGCATCATACTGTGCTCTGTTATTTTTATCCTGCTGTTTCTTTCACTCACCATCTCATGACTCACACCCTCCCCACACTGGAATTTCTGTCTCAGTCTCGTGGCTCACTGGTGTTAAGGAAGACGATGGTGTGGAAAGCCATTTGGAGAACAGCGCTGCTGCACAAGCTCCAGGTCGCTCTTGAAACCAAAGAGAGACAATATCACTTAGTGATTTATCACACAACTGCTCTGACTGTTGCAGTCTTTTTAGAAAACTGTCTTCACTATTTGTGAGGGTTGTAGTTCTGTTTTTATAGCCTTGGTGATGTGGCAGAATATAAGGTGGCAAAAGCGTTCTAAGTTACAGATAGTCACATGGAAAGCTGACATTGCAGAAGCTCTTAGAAAAATTACAGGGCTCATTCTGTGAGGTGATAAAGGGCTCTTGTAGGACAGCTTAATGAAATTCCACTTTGGTAAAAGAGCTGTTCTTTACACTTTTCTTCATTCATTTTATCACCTCAGAGATATGGTCTTTGATACTACACTAGACTGACCATCAAGGATATATGCTTCTTGAGGCCAAACCACAGTTACTTGTTGTGGGATAGGAAGGCCAGGTCACAACAGGAATTAGATGCTTAAATCCTTGCTAATTGCACACACACCTACTGTGATCCAAAATGTAGAACATTAAAATCCCGTTCAGTCTGTTGCTGTATAATACTGCACTCATATTTCTTAGTTGACTTAGTTTCCCAAGCACCTAGGCTCTGGCCTCTGTTTAAATCTGGAAATAATACTAGTTAGGAAGTTAAGTTCTACCACATCCCAGAAATTAGGATGTTCAGAGGAAGCATAATTATTTTCTCTTACGTCCTAGGTGAGTATTAAGAGCCCTTGCTAAAGAATCCCAGCTGCCTGTATCTGAACTTTTCATCTTCTTGAGGGCACTTTCTAACCAGTCAGAAGCCAAGATCACAGAGGCTTCACTCTTTATATTAACAGCAGATGTTCCTGAGACTGGAGGGAATAACACCTGAATCAGCAACTGGACACTATAACATCCTTCAAAAAAATATTCTTACCAGAAAATTAACTAGCAAATCTCTGGCTAGAAGGTCATGTTTTCTCCTTTTTTGTCCTGTAGCTTTATAATATGAACTTCATTGGAAAAAGTCAAAGAAGCCTTGGCCACAGAATATGTATGTCTTGCCAAAAAAGGCATTTATGTGATGAAAGGGGAATAAAATCCTAAATCGGGGATGAAAATTCCACTCAGGAGCAAGATTACTCTCAGGTAGGTTCTAGATCAATGGGCAGACCAAGGTCTCTAAGGACTTTGGAATGTATCTAACCAAAGCAACCTGCCTTTTTGCTGAGATGGTAGGTAGGAGTCAGCTTGGCTCCAGAGTAAGGTTAGCAGAAGGATCATTCATGTTCCATTCTGTTATTCCAGTTTTCACAGAAAAATGCACAAAGGATCTCAACTACCTTTCATCTCATGTTTTTAGATCTCCTGGCCGCCTGCTTTTCCACTCTGTCAAATCTGGTTATACAGGTAACACTGGAAACAGAAAGCATGTTTTATTTCTATGTCTGCTTGTTCTCCAAATTTGCCTTGGGGCAAACTTTTTACCTTGTTACTTCAAGTACTTCATATGTATTTCTGATGGTAACTTAGAGAATAGTCAGCTAATCTTTTATTAGTGAAGAAGCATAATCCAGCAGAGACACTTTGCTGCTCAGCATCCAGACATCAGCTCCAGTCACCCACCACATCCTCTGCTCTCTCTTCTTGTTGTCCATACCTCATGTAACTGGCTGCCTGGAGGGCAGCAGATGTGCATGATGAGAAGGAAGACTGAAGGCTTGCACATCCACGCCACTCTCAAATGTCAGGTCTTCCCTGAATCCAAAGGGCAGAAGCTTCCCTCAGCCCACCCCAATCTAGAAACGTGACCCCAACACACCAGTCATGTCATTTTCTCAGACAATTCCTCCAGCTGGAGGACAATCAATGCAAGAGCCTGAGGAGAGCCTCAGGAGGATGTGATTAGTGACCTAAAATGAAGCCTGTGCAAACTGCGATAGCAGCTTCCACTAGAATCTCTTCCACTAGAGTCAGCACCTCCCGGCAACAAATGCTGCTGCAGTTTGAAAGATGATTACCAAGAAAAACCCACCATAAAACCATAAAAAATCTGAAGGGAATTGGAGCAGCCAGAGAAAATCTTGTTAAAGCAGCAGTGTCCTGCTGTGAGCATCTGTGAGCATTTTGTTCCACAGATAGGTTCTTTGGTACTACTGGCTTAAACAAGTTTTCACTTCTCAAACTCACATCAGCAGTCTTTTACTTTTGCCCTGAGCTGCAGCCTCTTGTCCTGAACCTGTGTTTGTCTGCAGCAGTTCTACGCTGACTGTATGCATTAAGTGGGCCTTTTACAATATCTTACTTTTCAGCTTTGTCTTATCATCTCAGAGGCACAAAAGACCAGGAAAGCAATTGATCAGCCAGGGAACCACTTGTAAGGAGGAGCTCTCTATTCACATGAGATTGGGTTTGGGTCTTTGTACTTCCTCCTGCTTGTCTCCTCCAACACAAGGGAAAACAGATCAGGTGCACAGTCTTTTCTGCTCACTTGTAGTCAACTGGTATACTGGGTAGAGCAAAAGAGGGGGACTCCCTCAGTGAGCCGTCTTCTTCAGAGGATGTTAAGTCCACAGAAGGAACATTTTTCATGGACACACAGGTTTCAATTTTGGTGAGTAGTATTTATTCTGCTTCAATCATAGAATCATAGAATCATAGAATAGTTAGGGTTGGAAAGGATCTTAAGATCATCTAGTTCCAACCCCCCTGCCATGGGCAGGGACACCGCGCACTAAACCATATCACCCAAGGCCTTGTCCAGCCTGGTCTTGAACACTGCCAGGGGTGGAGCATTCACAACTTCCCTGGGCAACCCATTCCAGTGCCTCACCACCCTCACAGGAAAGAATTTCCTTCTTATATCCAATCTAAACTTCCCTTGTTTACTGGTCTCCAGCCGGACATTGAGCCATTGACCACAACTCTTTGCATGTGGCCATCCAGCCAGTTCTTTATCCACCGAGTGGTCCATCCATCAAATTGATGTCTCTCCAATTTAGAGACAAGGATGTCGTGTGGGACAGTGTCGAACGCTTTACACAAGTCCAGGTAGATGACATCAACTGCCCTACACCTGTCAGTCAGTTCTGTAGCCCCATCGTAGAAGGCCACCAAATTGGTCAGGCAGGATTTCCCCTGTTTCACTGTTTCTCTTAAATTTGAAATTGGTACCTGTTACTTCAGTAAAAATATACTTTTTTTATAAGAAGTAATGGGGAAAATTGATTTCTGTTTGTTCCTCTTTAACCTCACTTGCAGGAGAATAGTAATGTTATGTATTACAGTATTGATCCTGTCATTCATTGCTTTTTGCATAAGGCTTCTTGAGAACTGTGCTCTCTGGGAAAGGTTTTCTCAGCCAGATGGGCTCTTTACCATCTCTAGGAGACAGTAACTTGCAGTTCCTACAACATGGAGCAGGCTGGTATTTTAACGTGTCTTTGTGTTAGCTGTTTGTGTGTGGCTGATGGGCCACAGGGCACTGTAGGCTGAAAGACCACATTTCTTGGATGGTAGTTGTGCAAATTTTTTTGTGCATCAGCATTCTGGATCACTAAACATGCTACTAGGTAAAACAGTGCAAAGAATGGTCTCACTCAATGTGACTTCACAAGATAACAGTGAACACTATCAACCACAGAGCAGAAGATTGAAAAAGAGATATTAAAAAGGAGGATTTCTGTGTCTTGCAACATTCACAGATGAAGCAGGCAGGAGATTGAATGAAGCTTGGCCTATGCTATTCTTTGATACATGTTAGGCACTGGATGGGATCGCTTGTGGGGAACAAAAAGAGAGCAACAATACAATTCCAATCCTTTAGAAGACAACCACTTTGAATTTTAAAGGGCCAGATCAAACCCCAAGTTGACAGCATTCTGATGAGGAACTTGCACCTGAATGTCTACTATTTATTCATGCTTATGAGGAGAACTATTCGTCTTTCATATTATACGAAAAATCATATGGTTGGAGTTTATGGAGAAAGGAAAACAGAAATTATTGGGTGGGGAATAGAGCATGCAGTGAACTCTAACGTGGGTTGTAATGTTTGGTCGACTGGCTGTCAAATAGAGCAGCCCACAATTTCTTCACACTTCTTCAAGGCTTCAGGAAGTTTCATTCATCTCTGATAGCCTAAGACATCAAGACCAACCTCTTTTTCCATCCTGAACTTTTAATAAGAAGGTCAGTGAAGCTCTGATCCTATGTCTGTTGGTGTGTGTCGATATAGCTTTTGAGTTTGGATATTTACATCTTTATCTGAAAAAAAAAAAGCTTTTTGTCACTGGTAAGCAATAAAACCATGGATGTGCTTTTCTCTTCTGAACTCATTTTAATTCTAGGCTGGGAAGTTTCATCTTTACCTTCTAGTGGATTTCCTATGCTGATTTTAAACAAGATGCTTAATAGAAAGAAACCAAACCCTAGTATGATTTTCCTTAGTAATTCAGAAGGAGTTGGGACCTAGAGCGTAAACTCAATTCTAAAATGTAGTTAATAATGATAATTTCTGGATAGAATTGATCAAATTGCCTAACATTTGTCCACTGCATCTCCTGTAACTGCATCTTAATGGCAAATGGAGGCCCACTATTGGATGTAAATGTTATTTGGTACTGAAAACAATAAAGAAAGATGACAGTTCATCAATGGCAAGCACTTCAAGTTATTGATGCAAGATTAAATCCTTAAAGACAAAATGGAATCTTTAAAGTGCAAGAATTTTGCCTTGAACAATAAATGTAACCAGTTTCACAACAAGTATAGTACTATATTTGGAGCAAGAATTAATAGGAAAAGAATCTGCAAAACCCAAACATCACAGCTTGCTATTTCAACACCAGACTTGTGTGAGATATTTCTCCATCTTACAAAGAGTTTCTAAGAGGAAAGTTTCATACTTTGTTGTTTTGTTGGTTTTTTTTTTCAAGAAAGTATAAGTAAGTTTTGGATTTACCAGTATTAACTGATTTATGCAACTTTTAAACTTATCCTGTCCATGAATTAATTAGTTGCCAATCTCACTGTATTTTAAGTGAGA